TGCACCTCAACTTATCCATGTTATCATTAAATAATCAACACAGTATGATATGTGCCAAGTTTTACATGAATAATCTACAGGAGGGACCCAGAATTTTTGAAAAAGAGGGTGGTGGGGTTACTGATGGATGGATAGACAGACAGAGTGCAAACCAAAAGTCCCATTCGACTTCGTTGGTAGGGGACTAATAATCTAAACTAACAACAGAGTAAATGAAAATTCTGTTTGCAAAAGAAACTCCTGCCTTTTTACCTGAAAAATCAAATAGTCATTAGTATTAATTTACTTATGGTGTCTATGTAGACAACATTCTGTATGTATGTGCCTGTCCCAAGTCAGGAGCCTGTAATTCAGTGGTTGTCGTTTGTTGATGTGTCACATTTTTGTTATTGGTTCATTTTTTGTACATAAATTAGGCCGTTAGTTTTCTCGTTTGAATTGTTTTACATTTGTCATTTTGGGGCCTTTTATAGCTGACTTTATATTTGCGGTATGGGCTTTGCTCATTGTTGAAGGTCGTACGGTGACCTATAGTTGTTAATTTCTGTGTCATTTGGTCTTGTGGAGAGTTGTCTCATTGGCAATCATACCACATCTTCTTTTTTTTATATATAACACAACTGCCAAGTTGCAAATAAATGGTGATTTAGTCAAAACACCAGGAGTCGGTTTTAAAAAAACTCACAACTAACATTGATCGTATATGAATTGTTTATGAATTACATTGTACTATCGATCTTAGTTGTAAGATTAACCATGTTAATGTGAAAACGACTCTTGGACCCTAAGTGGTCTGTAAATAATGTGTCATAACATTTACCACAAGTACATTGTACAATGAGCATCACTCATTTTAGTGTGGGTATTATTGCTGTGTTTTTGCTTATTCTACATTGGTTACAGTAGAGGGTTAACATCTGACAAAACATGTTTAACCTCGCTGAAATATTGTTTGCGCCTCACCCTGTCCCAAGTCGTGAAATTCTAGTCTTTTTTAGTCTTGTATGTATTTTATTTTTTGGTTCATTTATATGTTTTGGCGTTAAGTGTGACGTCCATTTTCCCTGGACAATACATTATTGTTTAGGGCTAGCAAGACCCTGCCTCCAGGGGCTGGATTTTCTCGCTGTGTTGAAGACCCATTATACCCATAGTGGCCACGAGTCATCTTCTGCTATTTGGTCGGATTGTTGTCCTGACATATAATTTTCCCTATTTCCATTCTCAATTTTATATAATTTATATAATACAAATTTAATAATGTTTGTCCGTGTTTTTTGCTTTTTTTTTCCATTTCCGTTAAAAAAATATCTTTTAAATGATTTTATGGTCGTGAATCATGCTTGTGCTGGGATCATTTGAACACGATGTAAAGTATATCTTCTATAAACGAAGGATCGCATTGCTAGAAACTTAAAGAAGAATTACTTACATTATTCATTGTTTGTTTACAAAATATTACATACATTTTACGCATATTTCCCGGTCCTTTTCTAGTGTAAAACAAGTGTGAAACTGCTTCATAAGATACTAAAATGAAGATCGTGTTTTAATTTTTTCGATCTTTGTTTCAGTATTCATGAAAAGCAGCCCACGTGTTCGATTATTGTGATTTATCTTGTGTTTATCCTCTCACGCCGGCAAGAACATGCCATTACCACAAAACGGACGTGCATTTGCAACAATGAAAACAGCAATAAATTTTTTTGTAAAATTCTAGAATTACAGTTTTCGATAACAACATTCTTTTGTTATATATTTAAATCAAATAGATTATTTATAATAATCAAAATTAATTATTATTGACAATTACGACAATAGGATGACTTGCGATATCGATGCGCAACTTCCTGCGCAGTTGGCGCGAAAATTTGAACCCGCGAGCCCCCTTAAACATTTAAAAAGCTACATCACAACTACCACTGTATACAAAAGAGTAAAATGCATTGTTTAGTTGGTTTCTCTCTTTTTACTTCCCATCTTCAAAAAAAAAGATCTGTATATAAACAAAAGAGAATTCTGTTGACAATTTAAATATAAAAAATAGAGCATTGATATAATCAAGTTATTCAAATTCTTTTTTCGTAAATGTCAAAATAATGAGACAGTAGTGCAAATCATGTCGTAAATCGATTAAGAGGAGCAATGCAAGGTATCAAACAAAAAACGTGAAATTGTTTTTAAGTCAATGACAATTAAATACAACACTAACTCTTTATAAATTTAACGCGCTGACAATTAAATACAACACTAACACTTTATAAATTTAACGCGCCTTGTATTTCACTTTTTTTACCTATTAACTGTATTGTAGACAAAATTATAACCTGGTATATTTGATTGTTTTTTTTCCAATCAGAACACCCAAACTGAAAAACATAATTAAAGCCTCTCTAGCTTGTTTTGCTTTGTATTGTCTGCTACACTATATAAGTTCATTGATATGATTTGTCTATACGCAAGGGTTGTTATTTGAATCTCTCGTGTGATAATACGGGAGGTATCAGATATAACAAGTCTCCTTGTCAGATCTCATTTCATATACATCAGTCACGTGATAACGGCAATAACTTGAAAGGGTTGGGAACCCGCATGAACAAAATGAAATACCAAGTAATTAGTATATATTAACTGATACAAGGTTTGAAGGATGATGAACATAAAAAGAAAATACGAAAAATGAATACACCTGGAAAACAGTATCGGATTTTGTTCACAAAACAAAATTGTTAAAACATATAATACTATGTCATGTATTTGTGGCTTCAAAAGTATATACACTATTCCTGCTATTGATAAGACTAAAAGAATAAATGGAAGAAAAAGGTTGAATAGAAATAAGCAGATTTAATTAGATACAATTTTTGTAGAACAAGAAAATGATAAGGGTAATAAAAAAATAATATTTTACTCTGGTTACTTAAAAATCGAAATGTTCATTAGAACAATTCCTTTTGTTGGAATACAACCTTTTTTGTCTCAGAAAAGGCACAGACTAGTTTAACAACTAACATTTGATCCACGCAATGCGAAGACCATTAGCATCAGTGATTCGTGTGAACGCTGTATGTACTCAATATTGAACATTGCTGTGTGTATAGTGACAAACAGCATACACTCTCGTTTACCAAACTAAGGGAATTGTGCTATTGAACATTTTTACTTGTAAGCACTCATAAATACATATTGTCCATTCGTAGTACCCAAGACATGTTTTTGGTTGCTTGAGGTATAGAAATATAGACTTCACTCATCCGCTAACAAAACGTATGCTAATAAGGGGATTTTATTTTACTGTGCTTGATGTATAAATTTGCATCATTTCTGAATGGCGAACTTATACTAATGACTAAAGCAGAAAAAGATTGCAACTTTTTTTGAACGTTATAAACTTTGTAAGTGGCTTTTTAAGACAAAAAATTATGTGCCTTTCTTACACACAGTATATCTAGCGATTGGCGAATTTTTCGTGCTTCGTCCCGGTTATTCCAATAATTCAATCGTTATTACCAATTTGTTCACACCTGTATCTGCAAGAAATAATGGCTACTGAACCATAGTCGTGTATATCAGTTATGTATATTTTTACGAATTACCTGAAAAAAGTTAAATCACAAAAATACTGAACTCCGAGGAAAATTCAAAACGGAAAGTCCCTAATCAAATGGCAAAATCAAAAGCACAAACACATCAAACGAATGGACAACAACTGTCATATTCCTGACTTGGTACAGGCATTTTCTTATGTCGAAAATGGTGGATTGAACCTATTTTTATAGCGTTAAACCTCTCACTTGTATGACAGTCGCGTCAAATTCCATTATATTGACAACGATGCGTGAATAAAACAAACAGACATAATAGGTAAACATGTCAAAATAGGGGTACAGCAGTCAAAACCGTGTCACAATCGTAATTACTAATAAGTAGGGAAATGTATGTCTCATATGCAGTTGGTATATTGCTTCTAAGGTGGGGGAAATTGATAATTTTAAAATTAAAATCGTCTCGTTTGTCATAGATTCTGGTACTGAGATGACTGTGTATATAAAATTCGAGGTATAAGTCTAAAAATGAGGCGGAGGAAGCCGTGTCTGTTGTTTCTTTAATTTCTAGTTCTGGGGGATATATTAATGGAACCCAATCAGAAAAGTTCGGATTGTTAATGGAAAGAACATCATCAATATATCTGAAAGTGAAATTAAGTAATCTGGCTTCTTTGATCTTCTTGTTTTTGACAAGTGTCTGAAGGAACTCCGATTCATATGAAAATAAGAAGAGGTCGGCAAGGAAAGGCGAACAGTTCGTTCCCATACGAAAGCCGAATGCCTAATGCTGAAGCTGAAAATGCAATTGGTTGAATTTTGTTTACCATTTCTGTCATTTCTCAAAATAACTAGGTAATTGTAATCATTTCAGATAATGCCTGTCAATGTTAGGAATTTTATATATTACTTGAAATGATGAGCATATTGCAAAGTATCTTAATTAAGAAAATGTCTGTGATATATATATAGATTTTACCACTGCATCGAGTGTGATACGATATTTAGCCACTCGAGACAGTTAAATTTTCAAATTTAAAACGCGAGGCTCGCTGAGCGTTTTAAATATTTAAAATTTAACTGTCGAGAGTGGATAAATATCGTATTACACGAGATTTTGTGGTGGAATCTGTTTCTCTAATGATTTTCAAACAATACGCAGGCAAATTTATTCCTTCTTTTCGAATGATCTGCAAAAAGATTTGTTCTTTCTATGTGACGTCATCAGGCATGGTCGCCTTTGTTCATGCCGTCACAATAGGAAATTCAGAGGAAAGCAAGAAAATTCGACGTCATAATCGGATTTTAACCAATGAAGAACTGAGATCAAACGAACCACACGTTGATTAAATTTTTTTTTATACAATGGGTGCAGAAAGGGATAAATTGACGAAGAACAAGAGAAACATGTATAACAAGGCATACTAGATATATTTAATATAAAATCATTATTACCTTATTTTCATCATAGTGTTCTACAAAAGATAAACAAATTTTAAGAACAATGTCCTTCCAAAGCAATTTGTTAAAAAACGTAGAGGTTTTGTGTGAAATGTTATAAACTTCTTACACAACATTAACTACAGTTTTGATATTTCTAATATTTGAATAATTAATCTACAACTAAAGTATATCAAATGTAATTAAAGATATAATTGGTAAATTGGAAAATATGTATAAATATCACTAAAGGTTATTTTGCAACTTATTTTCAATAAAATTGTTGATGTACCTCTTTTCTGTTATAATTGATCGTTATTTGTTATTTATCATTATGGTTAAATTCCTTTAGAATTACTCAGTAACTGAAGAAAGCATGGTTGAGTTGGTCAAATGGTACTCATCCAGTGGCAAATATAACATACCTCTTCAGGAGAACATGTACATTAGAAAATGGGTCTATTTTGTTCTAATTTGACACGTTTAGTAGATGTTGTGATGCAATAGCCCAGACGATAAATGTCCGGAGGATACATTCTCAGCATAAAAACACCTTATTCTGCACCAAAACCCACCAATATTCAATCTTCGTTTAAAAATACAACATTCCAAAACGAATAGGCAACAAATGCCAACTTTTATTTATTTACCAAGCCGAATGTCAAACCAGCTGTTTTGAAAAACTGCAATAGCAGCCCATAGCTACAGACGGATGGAGGGTACATGTATGTATTATGAAAAAAAACCCAGTTACTTCATACATACAATATATAAGTTCGGACATGTACTTAATTTACACTACCATTCTACTCAAACGAAACAAATGATGATCATCATTGAACCTTTTAAGGGGATAGACCGTGGTTTAAAATAATAACTCTTTATATTACTAATGAGTTTGTAATATTCAGTTAGATTGATTGAGTTTGTGATATTCAGTTTCATTGATTGAGTTTGTAATATTCAATTTCATTGATACAGCTTGAAATATTGAACTTCCTGTTTTGAGTTTGTAATATTTAGTGTAATCGAAGCTGTTGAATAAAACTAATTTGCATAACTTAAAAACTTACACATTTTGGCCTTCCGCATGACCGTAGGGACATTTATTGTCGAAGTGAACATCTGGTGCAGTGAAATTAGTACCGTTTATGTTATTAGTTAAAATGGTTGACACAAACCTGTCAGTGTTTTTAATGGTAATGTCCCTTAATCCAATATATAAGTATAATCAAGTTAAATCGAACCATTTACGGTAGTATATACATTTCAATTGAACGAAATGCTGTTGATGCCGGCAGTGATTGACAAAGAGATAATTATGTAAATGAAATACAACTACATTTGGATATTGCAAATGTATGGTTTTGGCAAATATCATCCTGGATATAAGGAGATTGGAGTGTAATTTAATGAAATAACATTAACATGACACCAATTATCAAAGGACTGTGATGTAAAACAGCATATACTCTCCAATATAAAATAAGACTACAAAACATGTTAAACTCTAACCAACTAACAATCCGTCAAATTGAATGTAAAGGCATTGTCGAACATCTGCCATCAACTCCCAAGTTTTTCTGACTTGAATTTAAGTTTTGGTTTGTCCGACACGACATGATCAGCTGTCAGCCTATTTCTTTATCATTAATCTTGAGAATAATAAATAAACTCTCAAGATCAATGGTATTTCCGTTGAAGAGAAGTAAATAATTGTTATTATTATACTTCATGTCAAAATATCAGAGTTTCTTTGGTTAATACGAGGGAGAAAATTTACTCTATCCCATGGCAAATACTCTATTCCCCTTCACGGAGACGCTTGCTCAAGTGTGCGATTTAATAAATGCGGATGGTTGTTATGTACAAGACGACATAGTTTATTACTTTGAATTTGAAATTTAATAGACAGTAATAACAGAAAGTTCAGTATAATAAATTAAATAACACATATCTGAGAGGGTGATAGAGCAGATTGTTACCCCTCAAAAAGACATTGTCAACCTTGGCTTCGCCTCAGTTGACAATGTTTTCTCGGGGTAAAAATCTGCTCTATCACCCTCTTAGCTATGTGTTATTTATATAATATCAAATAATAATCCCATTCTGTGTTTAGAAGTCGTGTTTTAGACATTTTTTATGTTCCGGTTTGTGTTTTGTATATCTTTTGTTTCTCACACGTTTTTGCCATATCGATGTAATATGCATAAGCATACGTTGTTTAATATCAATATACTTTTGTTCTTCTCAAACACAAACCATGCTCTGATCCTTAAACTCATCAAATGTATCATGCTTATAATCTTATACTCCTGACGCGCGCGTTTCGTCTACACAAGACATATCTGTTGTGTAAGAATCAAATTTCAGAAGAAGTTCTCGGAATGTTTTGTTTCAATGCTCCTGTTTTGAGACGAATTTTGTCGTTATGTCTTATAAAGACGAACACTTTTTTGGTAATATATTTCATGATGTTTTATATGATGCCACTTACCTTCATTCGAGTAGCCATTTTCTGTATCGCTGAACGTATTTTCCAAGCACGGAGGTATATTCGAAGCTTGAAAATTGGAATCATCTATTATAGCAAAACGGAAATATTAGTAATGAATCCTGCTCATAAACAAAAATAATTTCATGATTGAATTAAAACACCAAATAATTATATATTAAATGCATTGTGAGTAAGTTATTACTTATACATTAGTCAAAATTGCTATGTGTGAGTTTGAACATGTCTGTTAACATTATAACACAAGTAAATCGGTTTTTATCTAAAAAGTAATTTTGATATGGTTGATTTTTATATACTGAAAACAAATTCGTTAGCCATGTTTATATTTTTTTAATATAATTATACCTATACGTGATGAACATGACTCATTTGCCGACTGTAGATCTGACTTCTTGCTGATATTTCTATTATTTGCGTTCTCGTGGTTTTTTGTTCTAGCTATAAAAAGAGGAGAAAACCAACTGTACGTTAACAAAGCACAGACTTTTAAAATACACATAAAAAAGTTTACAGGACTCAACACAAAAAAGAGACTGTAGAGCAGACTACACCACCAACGTAATTAAAAAACAAACCAACTTCTTCGACGAACAAACAAAGACTTTAAACAATGATGAACGGATGGTCCAGATAGTTCGACTCGGAACAGGCTAAAAATGTAGGGCTTAAATCAGTTAAACGTTCTCACAAACTTCCAATTTGCATATTTAGACCATGTGTCGCACAACTAAAACAAACAATATGAAGCCTGCACAGATACAGCAATCAATTGGATAACCACTTATTTGAAAAAAGCAAATAAAACAACGGCTCATAATTTTGAATATACACTAACACTATTGAAACCTATATCATGTAACAACATATGGTCGTTGAATACTGCAACCGCGGCAACCAAATCAGAAACAACACTATTAACTGGTTTCATTAAGTCTCATCATTTACTCTAATTCAAATCAGTAGTATTCTTGAAATGCATGTAGGTATCTTGAATAGGAAAGTCATCCGAAGAGGGAACAATTTTACACATTCTTGTTACAGGGATATTTTTGACATTGTCCCTCTGGTATCTATTGTCCTTCTTTTCAAAGACTTAAGTTTTTTCTCGGACAGGAATCAAAACAACCATCTGCCAACACTCTAATCATAGACGTATACAAGTGAAATCCGTAATAGTTTTGACCCATAAGGTTAACTAAAATAAGCAAAAGAAAAAAAATAATCATGTCTTTCTATGCATACCCTTTTTAGTTAAACAGGCCTGGTTTCCTAATTTAAGATCTGAATTATGGTTGAAAATTCTGTTCAGAGTGTTTTCGTGGTTTTCTGTTCTAGCTATGAATTAAAAATAAATAACATCGCATATATACTATAAATAACTGAAAATATATACTAAAGGTATATAATTACAGCGAAATTTGCATCATGCCTAGGAGAATTTAATGTAATTCTCACATTCGATTGATGTGATTTTCAAATTGGTTTGATTCGAGCGCAACCGGCTTGTCTTTTTAGGACAAAAACTTGTGTCTTGCGTACACACCTATTAGGCTGGTATCTTTGGTGAAACTTTTCTAAATTAATATTCTATTTTCGTTCAAACATGAAAGCAGTAGAGTAACATATTGATATTAATTCTTTTGAATGCGCTGTAAATCCTGAAAAACCGATGGAATAACAAGCACTGTTTTGTCTTTTTTCTTATGTCTCGACAGCGTTTTATATAATTTTTTTTTTCATTTGATTTTTTGTTATGATGGTTTCTGGAAGGCAAGCGGATTGAAGCTTATTCTAAAGACGACATATTCCATTTTCACTACGTCTTAATTTTCAAGTAAATTCGATTTGTTATGAAGTAAAAAGAAATAGTTGAATAGAAAAGAGGGACGAAAGATACCAGAGGGACAGTCAAACTCATAGATCAAAAACAAACTGACAACGCAATGGCCAAAAATAAAAAGACAAACAGACAAATAATAGTACAGATGACACAACATAGAAAACTAAAGACTAAGAAGTTGATTACTAACATAAGATGTCTCCAAACAATACTTTCAATTCAGTTATGTTTTGTGTTCTGGTAATATGTTGCAGTATACTATTTGACGGTATCTTTATCTTTACATTCGTTTGTCCCTCTCTACCTGAAAATGAAATAAAGATTGTGTGTTGATGTTTGAATAAGAACTTGTTGTTTCTTATTAGACGTGTTAGGAAAGTCAATACGATTTTGACGCCGATGTTAAATACAAATACAACTACAGGCTATAGTGGGGACCATCTCAAAAAGCACAGCTTATCATTCATTCAAGTTACCTGTATGGGTTTGTTTAATAATGCTGAGATGATTTTTAAACAATTTATTCCGTAATACACAGAGGAGGATCCAGCAAAACAACATGATCATTATCAATAATATTATCACAAAATTGCATTGTTTCATAGTAGTGATCGATTAAATTTAAGATCGTTGTTCAGCCATTTCATTCTAATTTGTTTAACGACTACAAGAAGAATCTGTAAAGTGATAAAAAAACAGTGTAATCAAATGACAATCTAATCTGTATTTTTTTATTATACATCAATCTTTGTTTCAAAAAGTAAAATAACAAAAATACCGAACTCCGAGAAAAAATCAAAACGGAAAGCCCTTAATCAAATGGCAAAATCAAAAGCTCAAACACATCAATCGAATGGAAAATAACTGTCATATTCCTTACTTGGTACAGGCATTTTTTATGTAGAAAATGGTGGATTAAACCTGGTTTTATAGCTAGCTAAACCTGTCACTTGTATGGCAGTCGCATAAAATTCCATTATACTGACAACGATGTGTAAACAAAACAAACAGACATAATAGGTAAAAATGTCAAAAATAGCGGTACAGCAGTCAACAGTGTGTTATAATCTTAATCACTATAAAAACAAACAAATATGTCAACAAAGAAACACAAAAAGGTATATAGACAAAGCACATTAGCAAAAGTGAAAGACAAGGATACAAAAATTTACTATAGCACAATAACACAATGACGGGATGTATAAGTACCGAGCCACGTCAAATGGATATCCCCAAAAATAGACTAAACAGTAAAAGTAATATTCACAAAGAAAATTAAAACAATACTATAACACGTTAATGTTCGTTTATTTGAAAATTATCGAAAATATACTTTTCCGGTGGGGCCTTTCATAGTTTTTGTGGGGAATGGGTTTTGCTCCTTGTATGGGGTGACATATAATTGCAACAATTTACGCTATTTGGCATCTGGTAGATAGTTGTCTACTTTGACCATCATACAACATCTCCTTATTTTATATCATTTTCTAGAATAGAGAAATGTATAGCTTAAAATTCTATTAAACAAAAACTAGAAATGTGTGTACTTGACAAGCATTAAAAAATAAAAGAATGAAACAAAGGCATACTCAGTTTTATTATCTTTTATTATCTTTTTATCTAAATTTAATGTAATGCTGAAAAGGGACAATACCTAAAAAGAACGCTAAAATGTGTGAATTAATTATTCTAATTCACATTTTAACTGACGTTTTCCTTCTATCAACCTTTGTCAGTTATTTTTTCGGACAAAATAGGTTATCGATCTATTTTTTAAAAGACAATCTGGTCATTATTCGAGCATGTTTAATTTACGTTTCGGTGAATTCGAAGGGTCGGAAATTTTCATTCTTGTTATCACGGATATCTCCACCAACAAAACAGAGCACCATGATTAAATTGAGATATTGTTGAAAGTGGCGTTAAACTTTCATACGGAGAAATTAATTTTATTATCTTTCAAATTGGATAAGGAAGATAGTTTGAAAAAGGAATATTTATGTTAACCTCTCGCAAAGCCTGCTAAATTATATGTCGGGCAATTTTTTTTTTTTTTTCGATTTTCTTCTTTTTGTTTATCCTAAAAAGTAAAATCACAAAAATACTGAACTCCAAGGAAAATTCAAAAGAGAAAGTCCCTAATCAAATGTCAAAATCAAAAGCTCAAACACATCATACGAATGGATAACAACTGTCATATTCCTGACTTGGTACATGCATTTTACTACTAATATTCACTATACACTCCGCTTTCTAAATTGGACGGTACATAGTGATGGGTGGATGGATCTATCTGTCCGTTCTTTCGTCCTTTTGTCTATTCATTGCATTCATACACCGATAGTAGTACACAGTACATAATCACATACGGCTTCCTCAAAACTGTGTTTATTTATGTGAACCTTCCACCAATTGTTACGCCATATAGGAGACACAAAATGCAACAAAACCGGAAAGGGGAAAAAGAAAATGCAAACAACTAGATATAGAAGAATTTCAGAATGTCAATTTTATGTCGAACACACCACCAGACGTTTGAAACATAAAGGGTTGTTGGAACTTTGTATAAACATCCAAGACATGCATCAAAACAAATTGTTGAATTGTGCTGGACTTGTGGAGAGACAAACTGAGTTATTTGACTGTTATTTTATAGTTGGATTTGTGGCTATAAAATCCGTCATTGTGACATCAAGGAATTTGACTTATCACCTAATAAGTACTTACATGAGCAACACGACGGGTGTACATCAGGACATGCCTACTCTAACAGAGCCCTATAGATCAACTTGGCTTTTCGGTGTTGCTCAGTCTTTAGTCATCTATGTTGAGTTTTGTAGACTGTTGTTGGTTTTTCTCTGTTTTTCTTATTTTCTCAGGGCTTTGAATATTCAATTGTTTTATTCCGCCACTTTTTTGAACGTTGTTTAAGGGAAGCTGTATTAGTTTAGTCTGTTATACTTACTTAGTATATAGCTGACTTTACTGGTTTTCACGACGACTAAATTGTATTTTGTTTACTTTTTTATTGTTGTTATTCTATTAATAAGGTTGATTAAATCTATATCGTCATAACATTCAGTCCCAAATCGAGACCATACTTATCGGTTTTCGTAGGTAGTGTGCATACTTGAAGTATTTCAGTCTATTAATGGATGTTGCATTGGTTTTATAGATATAAGTGACAAGTAAGATCATATCTGATTGGATAGACAACACTTTACAGTGTGAAAATACTATTTTTAAATGTTAAAAGGTTTTTTTTTCTGTGGTCCATTCGAAAACTGCTTTAAAAACTTATCTATGCTTTTTCGATCTGTTTATGATTTTAGTTTCATGAATGTATAGAACAAAATTCCTTTTATTATCTACCGTCCGACCACCGAGGGACGAACTATACATATAGATAATTTTGACCTCCAAAGGATAAGTTCGGTGTAAACTCGCTAGTTTTGTAATAGCAAGATTCAATCAAAAGAGAGGCGAAAGATACCAAAGGGACATTCAAACTCAAAAGCCGAAAATATACTAACAACGCCATGACAAAAAAAGAAAAAGACCAACAGACAAAAAATAGTGCATTAAACACAACATAGAAAACTAAAGAATGTGCAACACGAACTCAATCTAAAATTGGGGGTGACTCAGGTGCTCCGGAAGAGTAAGCAGATCCTGCTCAACATGTGGCACCCGTCGTGTTGCTCATGTTAGTACAAATTCGGTAATAGGTCTAATTCGGTAGGTCACATTCAGTGAAAATGGGAAGGGATCGTTGTTCTGCTATGATCTGTGAAACGGATATTCCATAATGGTCAACCAACTCGTGATGGCGTCCGTAAAATTTACGAAGGGATGATTTCTACTTCACCACTTGGACCTCTTGGTTTTATAGCTTCCTAGTGAGCAGCAACCCTCTATCAAGGAAATCATGATAGGAAATACAATCCCCAGCATATCATATCAACTGGGAGATATCTACTCCCTATGCAAGCACTGCTGGAATGTTGCTTCATAGTAATGGAAAGTTCACAATTAAGAAGCTGAAATCAACTCTTTTGTCGTGAAGTTTTGTTTTCAACCGACCCTCATTGTCAATTATCTAGAAGTAAGTCAAGATATGAGGCAGACTTAACTGTTGTATCCTTTATCTTAAGTTCGATGGGATAGATGGGTTCAACATAGTCACCAAATTTTGAATTATTTAGTGAGAGAACATCGTCTATATAGCGGGATACTGCTAACTTCTTGTCTTTCTTCTGAGAAGTTTCTGTATAAAGTCAGCTTCATATGAATAAAGGAACAAGTCGACAAGAGGAGGGACACAGTTGGTTCCCATGGGAATGCCGATTGTTTGTTGAAAAACACGTCCTCCAAACGCAACAAATATGTTGTCAATCAAGAAATCAAGCATCTTGATAATGTCAGTTTCAGAGAATTTTTATTTGAAGCAGGGTGATTTTAGTAGGAATTATCCCCCCTAAGACAAGATACTTGTATCTACGTTGGCCTTATTTTTTGTATGAAACAAAGCAGGACCAATTCTTTCAATTTGTCTTTTAGGTTGAAATGGGGCATACTAAAATCATGAAACAAAAGGTTGTTGGTGCTGAATGCTTTTCAAGTTATTAATTGATTTAGAACAATTTTTTAAAGTTGCGTTGAATATAGCTACTGATGTGTACATTTGTTGTTTTATAAGTTCCTGTCGTAGCAAACAGTATTATTAAGAGTACCTTTATTGATTAAAACATGTAAGATTTCCCCTTCTTGTATTACATTTACATCAGGTTGTGTATTAACAGACGTTGGCTGTGTAAAATATTCCTTCATCTTTTGAAAGAAAGATTTTGGAAGGAATGGTTCTGAAAAAGAAAGATTTTTTTTAAAGTGTTACAAACAATGTAATTTTTGTAATAATTCATGTTACAATCACTCCAAAAATGCAAAAGTATAACACGTTTAAATTCTATTTTTCTTTTAAATAGAGTAAGGCTTTCAACTCAAATTAAATGGTTACTCTTTTGTTGAAGATAAAGTAATTTCTAACTTATAGTTTGGGAGATTTCTGTCTAAATGGTTATAACAATAATTTAATAAAATGACAAATAGCAGACTTTTACAGGCAAAGAAAAACTGTCAAAATATGTCCAAATATCTATAGCAAATGAAAGGTAGTGTAACATTATGCATAATTGGACTAAAACGAGTTGAAAACCTCAACAAACAAAAATAAATAAATAAAAACAATGCATGTCAAAGAACATTTGATTTGACCGATTGGCAAAAAAGTGAAGAAATGCATATTAGAGAAGCTACGTAAATGATAAATAACAAATGGGTGTAAAGATATTGTTGAAAATGTATTAAGACTCACGCTGAGCAACAGAATAGGAACTTTTATCATATATTATATTTCCACTAGCCGTGTCCATGCTAAGGTGGTGTACTGCAACAAAACAACAAACAAAAACATATCATCTATTTTTCATTTCAATTTGTGTTCTAAGCATAACAGCAAATTATATTACAGCGTCATTTTGACAGATGTTCAAATTACTCTCCCTGTTAACTACAGTACTTGCAACCTTAGGTGTTACTGTTTGACGGGAACTTGACTGATAGATGAATGATCGGTGACGGATGTTTGACTGATCGATGAATGATCGATGACCCATAGAATCCGTCAGATAAGTCAAATAAGCTATATGAGAGTTGCCGTGACAACGGTCAGCGATCGATCATTAAATCAATTATATGCACGGATCAGACGGATACGTATATAATTAAAATTCTTATGTAAAACAAACCCCACAGTATTTACATGTTATAAACGCGGACCTCTACGAAGACACCTTTTCTCGTTTATTTGTAACCAACTTTGTTCCAATAACACCAGCGACTTTCAGTATAGAAAGTCCCTGATAGCACATACAAAAAATACATGAATTACTTTTCACGCATTACATTTATTTTTCATAATTGGTTCTCTTATTTTTCTGCCATATAAAATACATAAGTGCAGAATAATGTCATGGTCAGAATGTTTCTGTATCACTATCATTTATAAGGAAAAAGATACTAAATCTTTTGATTGTGTTAAATAAGGATTCAATAATTTCTTTATTTTAATAGAAATCATGAACCGTCATTAGATTTTTAGAACTTTGTGTACATCAGGATTGGTTGTTTCATAAAATCAAATGAATATCAGAGAAAACATACAAAAACATGTAAAATGTTGTTTGCATTGTTTACAATTACCAATATTTCTTCTTTTTATCAAAAAGATGCAATATTATTTGTAATTAGTTATTTCAAAGGCCTCCTGATAAGTTTTTTTTTTATAAAATTTAAAAAATATGAGGAGAAAGATACTTAAACTTTTGTTTGTGTTGAATAAAAATGAAATAATTACTTTATTTTATTAAAATTATGAAAATGATGATCCTTTGATTTTAGTACTTTTTGTACATCAGGATTGGTTGTTTTTTATGAAATATCCTGAATTTCAGGTGAAAGATACTAAAATGTTGTTCGCATTGGTTAAAACTGCAAATATTTCTTCTTTTATATCAGAAAGCATGCACCGTCATTTGCAATCAGTCATGATAAATGCCTTTAGATAAGTAATTATGTAAAGATGTGCATAATATAGGGATAAATATACTTAAACTTTTGTTTGTGTTGAATAAGAATACAATTATGTCTTTATTTTAATGAAAATCATAAACCGCCATTGGATTTTTAGTACTTTTTCTACATCAGGATTGGTTGTTTTTCATAAAATTAAATGAATATCAGAGTAATGATACTAAAGTTCTTGTCGCATTGATTAAAATTTTCAATATTTCTTCTTTTTATCAAAAATAATGAAAAGTTATTTGTAATTAGTTATTTAAAAAGCATCATGATAAATTTTTTTGATAAACATTTTAATAATATAAGGAGAAAAATCTTAAACTTTTGTTTGTGTTGAATAAGAATGAAGTAATTACTTTATATGAATAGAAATTATATTATGACTTTAAACTTTTATCTTACGGTCTTTTATCCCCTCAAAACGAGTTGCATAAGGGTTCGAACTCGCGCGTATTTTCATCGTAAATCAATACAGTCTTCAGTCTATGCATGATATCACTATATATACCACGAATGTTGACATGAATCAATATCTAACTTATTCTCTGAAAGCGCTTAATTGTCAATACATGTCAATAAACTGGATTTCTGTCTCATTGATAATTCGCTTTTGTAATCATTGAAATATATATATTATGTCTTGGTTTGTTCATAATCTTTTCAAATTAATTTGATTTGTTTTATTTTGGGTGTTATTTTTTTAAGGAAAATTATGTTCTTGGGTGTAAATATATAGCAGTATGAAAACATAAAATGACAAAAAGAAAAAATAAATAAACCATTGTCTTTAAAATCATAAAAAAGAGTATTCCATTACTTCTTGTCACTTGTAACGTACAAGGACTTTCAATTTTCCTTGTTATCATAGCAAATGCTTACTTATGGTTTTAGTCTTATAATATTATCATACTATCAATCAATTTTTCTTTGTTTGATTATTAATTGTCCAAATATACATCATGTCATCATTGAACAGACTCTAATTTGAACAATCTGTGATGTATAAGCCACGACCGTGAAACTACTTCTTTGGCAGTTAAAACAGAAACAAAATCATAATCATTATATGAAAATGGTTTATATAAAACTTCTAAGATTGAAACAGAATTTTGGCCGAGAAAAAATTTACGATGAAAAACAAAAATTCCGGGTACAAGGTTTGAACTGCGCACTGTTAATATCACATATATGACTTTCGTTACCAACGACTAGACGGTCACGGCTATGAACAGCTTTATTGAAAGTTTATAAAATCAACATAATTATGCATCTGTGGCAAGAGCAATTCTGCTGGAGATTCGGGAATCCGTACAACAGATAATACTACTTTATTGACAGGTTGACAATGGATGCCAAATGTAATAACGCTAAAATAATATAAACTTAATGATACGGAAACTGTTTAAACAAAATCTATAATTGTTCAAATAAAAACTTAAGCACATAACTCTTTTATTTTGGAAAGTAATATAAATTGGAGCATGAAGAAACGGTAGGTTTGTTGCAATTACTCTAATTTTAAAGTTTTGGATTAGTACGGCTAAATGGTAGCCAGTCCTAAGTCATCTTAAAACCCGTACATGTTGCTAAATATTATATATATAAATTTCAAAGGTTCTAAATTTTGGTTATAAGATTTTTTAAACTTTTCAAAACAAGATAAATAAATTCTGTATATTGATGTTTTTCTTTTTAAATAAATCAGAAATACCAAAATCTATTCAATTTAATAATTTGTAATGATTAAACATTTAATGAAATATGTATTTACCAATATGAAATTTGGAGTTAAAAAGGGGAGCTAACACCCGATTTAATTTATATTAAACTTATTTTAACTTGTCAAATGTCTAACAATAGATGTGAACCGTGTGGATATAATCACTTCCAGCTATTACAGAATATAAAAGACAAAATACGAAATTATCTTTATGAAATTCCGTTGATTTATTGTCAAAACGTAAAACAGACAGTCGTTTTACTAGAAGTGGGGTAAGCTAGAGAATTAATAAGAAGTGGTGAATTCGGAAACGATAATCAACTTGCGACTAAAGTCGCTCGTTGATAATACCTGTACCAAGTATGTTTTCCATTCGTTTGTGGCTTTTGAGCTTTTGATTCTGCATTTGATAATGGACTTTCCGTTTTGAATTTTCCTTGGAGTTTGAAAGTTTTGTTATTTTACTTTTTTCGTAGACAGTTGTAGTCTAAGCAATATGATAACCAATATACTAATCGCTAAAATCGTCCAGAACCTAAGCATGCCTTGAATAGTTATACATTATACGAAAACAATTAAAGATACCTATCATCAATAACGCTCTAAATAGAGAGACGTATTTTATTCTGAAATGATGTCAACAGTTGTCTTATTTTTTTGGAACGATGATTTTTTTTTACAGTTTTATTAACGACTGAGTAAGATTCAGATCAAGAAAGTCTCAAAAATTCTGTAGGACTCTCTCAACAGGAAAGGGGGGCAATACGATTTTTTTACTGGATGCCTATATGGTCCTTTACTCATATTTCATTAATCAAGATGAAACAAGATTTGGGTATTGATAACACCGCAATATGTTTATACCGATTGCTTATTTTTGATAATTTGTTCGATGTACATGTAGTTACAACTTAAAAAAAATAGAGTTTGACATATTGTAAAGACACTTGTTTATAGTTAAGATCGTATAATGACTACTTCTCGGTTATTTTTGTTTGTTTGGTTTGTGTGGTTTGTTTTGTTTTTGGTTTGTTTTTACTCAAAAGAGGCGCGCTTGTCAAAGTACTTTGAAGACAAGATGATTTTGAAAATCACTGAAAACATAACATTTGAATAAAGATGTGGCAAATTTTTCAGCCTTCTGTATCGCATCGAAAAACCTTAGTGTTTCGGATCAATCAAAAAATTTAGTTTTAATGAGAGGAAACAGTAGTTTACCGATGTTCAAATCTCATCAATTCATTCAAAAGATATAAATGAAGGTAAAACACCAAGGCAATTGCATTAACTCCAAACGTTACGAAACCGTATTTGTAAACAAGCTTCCTTCTTGACATGTTTAAGTCGGATGAAGAAGGAAAGGGGTAACAAAGATAGTTTATTGGATTGAATGTGTTGTTTTGACTACTTCAAACCACTTATTATTTTGTCCACTGAAATAGTTTTATTTAATATCACATAGGCCTAAAACTTATTCTGCATCGCATATTCATTAAACATGTTAAATGATTGTTATTTAATTGTCTCTCTTCATTTTGACCTAGCATTCGCACATTCGGCATTTGCAATTATGCATTATGATTATCCCTGTATATTGCTAAAGTTTAACAAAAAGTAAAAAAACAAAAATACCGAACTCCAAGGAAAATTCAAATAGGAAAGTCCCTTATCACATGGTAAAATAAAAGCTCAAACACATAAAACGAATGGAAAACAACTGTCATATTCCTGACTTGGTGCAGGCGTTTCCTTATGTAGAACATGGTGGATTAAACCTGGTTTTATAGCAGGCTTAACCTCTCACTAATATGACAATCGCATAAAATTCCATTATATTGATAACAATTTGTGATCCAAAAAAACAGACATAATAGGTATAAATGTCAAACATAGGTGTACAGCAGTCACCAGTGTGTTATAATCTTAATCACTATAAAAACAAACAAATATGTAAACAAAGAAAAACAAAATGTCATATAGACAAAGCACTTAAGCATAAATGAAAAACAGGAATACAAAAAATGACCACAGCACAACAACACAATGTCGGGATGCATAAGTACCGAGCCACTCCAAAAGGATATTACCAAAAATGGACTAAACAGTAAAGATTAATAATTTACAAAGAAAAAATAAAAGAAGTCTTTAACACGTAATTAAGATGATAAAACACGTCAGTACCTAGAATCTATACTTCAAGACCATCATGTATTAATTGTGAAGTTGAAGACTGGAAACATCTTATGGGAGTTCAATAACATTGTTTTTGTAAGCTATATGCTGTATGTTTCCCTTTTAAATTTATAATCCCGTTGCGTTCTTACATTAAGCATTGAATAATAAACCTGTCGAGTGCATTTGTATTTTACTTTATATGTAAATTAATTCAAACGTTGCACTGATGTTGCAACAAATACAAACACATTTAATAACATGGCTGTAAAACATGTTTGGGACAATCAAAAACTTACTAACTGTGTTTTTTAATCAATATATACAACACGATTATCTTAACAAGTAATAGCTATTCTATTAAAAACGTTTTGCAATTGTTTTAAAATATGGACTCTGACATCAGTAGAGTATCATTTAAAACAAATCATTTGAGTATAAATTCTATGTTATTCATTCTTCTACTAACATGTACTTAAACATGTAACAGATAGGACTGCGATTATGACATCTTAGTGAATGTAGCTTTAAAGTGCATTCTCATACATTTCGTAAGACTGTCCGAGTGATATCATAAATTATCGAAGATATGTTTCTGATCATATATAAGAACAGCTTCGATAAACAGGCTCTAGCAAATTCAAAGGAACTTGTGGAACTATTCCAAACAGTCAGTTTCTGAATTATTCATAGCACATAATTCCTTAATGATTCAACTAACAAGAACATTTACATTCTAATTCAATTGTATTGTTAATGCAAAGGATATGAATTGCTAACGTTACCATGTATTGAAGTTGTATTTTTATATTTATATTTTTAGAAACACATTAAATAATAAACGATTCAAGAATACAGTAGGGCAAACATTTAATTTGATAGGTGCATGATGTTAAGCATGATATGGTACAAAAATTTAGGCTTTCAATGATATATAAATATATAAAACTTTAAAAAAAAAACAATACATTTTAACCTTAATCTGAAGTACTTGTTTAAAAAATACTTTCATTATCGTCCTGTTTGTTTGTTGACACAGTGTTTTAAAATGTTAGGCGTTCACTCTCTGCGGGTATAATCAGCTCAGTTGTCATACCTTTATAACAAACCTTTCTTAAATTGACCGTGTGGAATTTATAAATTATTAAGCAACAAAGGTTTCAACTCCCTCGGGAAAAGTCGATCTTACATGAATTTGTCATTTTTTTCTAGATCCTTTTTGGTCATGTTGCTCTTCAAATGTTTCGGTTCTTATACATCCTTGGCTTTCAAATGTTCTGCTTTGAGCATTCCTGGTGAAGGTAAATCAAGAAATGCTCTTCGGACGCATTTAATTTGTAAAGTGTTGTTTTCTTTTTTTACCACACTGGGTTATACCACTGGTGGTGGAATATCAGTCCCCGAGGTTATCATCTGATCAGTAGTGAGCACTTCGGTGCTGGCATGATTTATAACAGATCTTTTTTAAATTTGCAGTTTACCATAAAACTGGTGTAGCGTTTATAGTATATAATGTTTCAAATATGGAAGTTAGTAAATCTCATCCCACACTACGATGTTTATTCGTAGATCAGCACACTGTGGATTCGCAATTATTCGAGGGATACACATATTTATGATTTTCGCGGTTTTAAGTGAACCACGAATTGCATTGTTCGAATTTTATGCAGACTTTGGCAAAACCACGAAATCACATATCTACGAATATACAGTTTTTCTTCAATGCACGAAAATTGTTACCCACGAAAATAAACGAATCCACAGTATTCAGGAAATGTACCCACATGTGAAATTTTAACGAAACATGTAAATAGCTCAAAAGATATTACAGATGTATAAAAGCTGTTTGCTTTTCTATATAACCAAATTCATTGCCCAATCTTATAGAATACATTTTTTAAAGAAAACAATATGACTTCATTATGGGTGATATTGCAACTTTAATCGTCATTTGTGTAGTTTCGTGTTTTTTCTGCTGAATAGGTCGTTATAATTAGTGCATACAAGAAGGTGTTCTTACCCTAAATGCAGGAATAATTACTAAACATCCAATATAAGTATTTTTAGTAATTTTTTCAAAGTCGAAAAGAAGCATTAAAAAATCTTTATAGAATATCAGTAAAACGCCTATGCTTTGAGAAATATTTTTTTTTTAATTTGGGAGAGTGATAGCGTTCGAGTTTTATACATGGTTAGAAATTACTAGTGTAGTCGAAAACTATACTATGGACATGTGTTACAGTATATTGACTAAATTGAGAAATGTACACTCCAGAAGATAGGACAAAGCCAAAGGTGAAGATAGTTGATCGATTAATTTCCTTTCGGAAAATTATTCATATTTTAAACAATATAAATAAATGCGTTACTTTTATTTCTACGGCTTCGGACACTTGAAATAATGATGAGAAAAGGAAAAATAAATATACAGAGTCAATAATAAAAAGATATTAATGTCATGAAATAGATATGACTTGTGATCTTGATAAATAAATTGATATTTTGTTGTTTACGGATATTATTCTTTCGAAAAGTATGGCTGACAAATGACGTCATACATGCGTTTTAAATTTCATCATTTTAAGAAATGATTCAAAATCATCATATTGCTTGGTCATCTCTTTACTGCAAGATTGTCATGGCAAAACCGCAGGATAAAACGTAAACATTTTGAGGTGTATCTTGGGCCAACGGTCTTGACGAACCTTATCAACAAGATACAAAATAATTGTTTCAAAATATGAAATACACCTGTATGTGATCGCCATGGACAGCAAAAGTGCAAGCTTCTTGAAAATAATCAACAATTGAAACTAGATAAATATTGATCATAGCAGACCATTCTCTGCTTTTGAAAAGATCCCTATAGACTTAGAAAATTCCGTGGTTTTCTTTAAAAAAACCAATAACAATTCTGATGAAAAAAGAAACATCATGGAATTAGGCACTGCCCTCTTGAAAAACCAGTATTACTGAAGATTGACATATTGCTGTTTTTTTTGTTTTTTTTTACTTACATACAAATTATATCACACAACAAAACTGTTTGAATACATTGAAAACAACAATTTGGACGTCTACAGTGAAATGTATGTCGACCATGTCGTCCTTTTTCTCACATAAGACAAAATGACTGTGTTTAATAATGGTAAAGGTAATTTAAACATGATGTGATCAATAAATCATGTTTGATATATCACGTGACGGTGTGGTGTGATTTATACAAATGAAGTTATTCTGATTTGTTTTTCGTTAATTGTTCTACAAAGAAAGACAACCCGAGACCTTTTGAAATATCAGTTTGATCGATTTAGTCTCAAATCTTGTGTATAATTCATATCTTTGTTAAATTTCAAATATAAGATATATTATAGATACTGGTGTGTTTTTACGAACTTTAACATGATTGTTTGAATTAATAACAAAATAAAACTATATAATGTAAAACCAGTTAAAATATCCGTCTGGTCTTTTTAATTTCCTCAATGTATAAAAACTTTAATATGCCGTAGATTAAAATTGCCATACTCTTACTTAGATCTACACATCTTATAAACATTCACTATAATATGTCTCAATTTGATCAAAAGATACTTACTATTTTAGATCTCTATATCTTTCACACAACTACAGGTTTGTAATACATACGTAGTAAAAATACACATGATTTAATGATAGATTAAAAGTTTCATTTCCGTATGATAACAAAACATTCAAAAGAGGGAAGTGTTTTAAAGTTATTTTTACACGCCATGATTAAAAATCCATGTCTACAGAAATAAACCTTTGAAACTGAAAAATAAAGTAACAACCGTTCCGGTATTTAACTATAGCACATCTAGAAAATATTCAGAAATGGGGTAAATGCAGATTGACTATCCTAAATTTGCATAGTTTAAATAAGGCATGGGGTTCAATTTCGCAGATACTTAATATCTAATGTTAAAAATAAATATTTTTGTATTAGACCAATAATATCAAAATTTGATAGCCTCTGTAAGAGAAATTATACATCCAAGAACTGATCCCATAGTTAACATGCGAGGACTTGAATTTCTTATCGAGTTGGATTTAGTTAAACTGAAATAAAAATAAAAAGGAAAAACTATGGGATATAGATAAAAATAAATGAAATGCACACCTGCAAAAATTGACAACACCATATCTACAGTGGAATGCAAGAAGACCCTTATCCAAGTACACCTTGATTTTAGTCTACACTGTAAAGGGACCATACAAAATGGAGCAAACATACCAAGAACTGATACAACTTTGTATGATAGCTATGATGGGCGTTATATGCATCTGCATTATAGGGGTGATCGTCAAAGACTTTCAAGTTTCAACAATTGGGAAATTGTCAAAATCAAATCACCTGAAACGCTAGCTGAAGTAGAATTTGTTAAACGGGTAAATTATACTCAACCGTTAATTGATATAGTTTAGAAAATAATAAATTAAAAGGTAATCAAAGAAGAATATTTGATTCAAGATATATTAACTTAATTTCATTATCAACAATCAATATAAAAAAAAACAGAATTAGTGTGCAGGTATTTAAGGCAAGCAGTTTTTGTACAAACACAACAAATTTTGAAGAACACAAAGCATACTTTTATTGCCGTTCCTTATCATCTTAAACTCACAGCGAGGCTATCAACAAGGACAAATTGCCAACACCTCATCATAAGTTCTGGACAACTCTATCTCAGGTTAGAGATAATCTCTTTGCTAGGTTTTGATGACGCTTCATTTCTTAATTTACGAACAAACTCCCGGATAATATCAGAAAGTAATAGTCCAAATTTTTGTAATTAATAATTGGATAGATGAAAAAAGGTGGCACGGTAGTATTTACATTCCGGAATTTAGGATGCTCTTTTGTGTACCCTACTTAGGTCAATGTATCTGAACAGTATGATTGGACAAAAAAAACAGTATCTACTGAACATACTTTCCCAAAAGGAGGGATGGATCAGGTGTAGAAAAATATGAGATAATTTTACATGCAGGTGAAAACGAATTTATGAGAACTTTTGTAAATTTTGTATTCACTGCATGATAAAAGACATAAAAGCACTAGTGGCCTTAGGTTTATAAAGATAGCAAAAAAGTAAACGCACATCATAAATATTAGAATAATTTTTTGAATATTATAAAAAAGTACTTCAGTTAACTGTGTATGTAGGATTTTGGGCAGTGTTAGAAAGTTGTGAAAATTCTAAAAAGGCTATCATTATCCCTATGGGCCAGGAAATACTACCGTGCCACCAAAACCGCCTGTCACATATAAAAACAAGTCAGATAATTTGCAAGTAATAGACAAATAATATGGAATTGCAATGATGATTTTTATACATATGTTGACTGAATGAGGAAAATAAAATCCCAATGAAGAATTTTGTTATTGTTCAATCTAATTATTATTTATTTTTCATTGCGCCTCAAACAAAAATTCCTACCATAATTTCTTGAAATACGGATATTCATTTGCAGCAAAATAATATAGTTTTACTTTTTAAGTATCTGAATTATTTTACTTTCAAAATGCTATCCTTATTCTATAATAACATGTTTTTCAATACCTTTATTTTTGCTAGATTCGTACATGTACTGCTTCAATTAATATGTTATGTTGCTCTTTATACATGTTATAACATAGATGTCTTTACATTGAAGCTTCAATTACTGAATTGTTTACGAAGATTTCATTTTTTTTATGCATAATTGAGATTGATGCAGGTTTTATTTTGATAAGGTGTTGAAAAATATAGTATTGCGAGTAAACTGTAAAAGGCGTGACAAAAGCGTTTACTGGCTTTAGATACAACAAGCACATTAATAACCAGAAATTAGAAGTAATTACATTTTTTTAAGATGTACAAGATTATAGTGTTTGTTTCAGTTGTGGGGTCTGGCCTGGTGACTGGTAACTAGATGAAGAACCGTGGATGGACGATGCCTGGTATTATCCAGAGTGTTACTATGTCAAAGAACATAATATTTATTACGGTATGATCAAACAGTAAAAGAGAAGTGGCGCAAAGGTTGTCCTATCATAATTTGGGTCTTATGAAAATCAGAATTATCACCAACATCACTAGTAGCAAGATTTCAGTCTGAAACGGTCATTTTGGTCTGATCAAGTCTTAATAGACTGAATTTACCGCTAGGGAAAAACGTTAAGACTTTTTAAGACTTTCAGACGCTGTTCAGATATGTCGTGTTCAGTCCGTTCATTCATGTCAAGATAAACAAGACAGAAGGCTCTAGCTGTTAAACAAGATATGTTAAGACGGTTTTAGACGAATTCAGACCAAACATAAAAAGTAATGTTCAAAATTTTCAGATCGGGTTAAGATCCGTTTAGTGTGTCAGAATGATATTAGGAGTTACGCCCCTTCATGTGGATGATACATTTTAATTTCAAAAAATTTACAATAAAAATGCTAGAATGAAAAACGTATATTTTTAATTATTTAACATAAAATCATTGGTTGACTTTTTATTTCTGTTGGTCTTTTTTTAAGAGATTAGTGATTTTGTTTTGTTGAGGAAATAAATTATTCGCATATAACTGTTTATGATTTTATTTTATTTTTTATTTTCTGATGTTAATTTATATATTTATCTACTTATTCTTTGAAAAGAAGTAATTGCAAATTTTAAACATAACATTAACAAAAGAGTGAAAACACCTTATAAATTTCTTGCGTCTGAAGCACGGTTCTGGATTTAACTTCATCGGGAACGATCAGCGTAAATACAAATATGTTTTATGTCAGATAATTTATATCGTTAATTTCGTTATCTTTCGATACTTTCCTCTAAAACTTAATAATTACTTCGTGGCATTAAGTAATCATTCCCCGTGCGTGTTATTCTTTTAATGTTTGGACAACCGTTTTTTTTTTTTTTTTTTGCTTTTATTTCGTAGTCACTAAGGCCGCATCAGGGAATCATGTCTCCGAGTGCAGTTAATATTCTGAAAACTGCACTAAGACCGTGACGAGACAATAAAACTATAGATAACATACCATCGGAAAGAAGAAGATGTTGATGGGGGGATTACAGAATGGAGAATGATTGGCAATAAATATAAAGAATAGAGAAAGTGGATAAAAAATAAAGAATACAGAATAATAAGGTGCTTGAATATAAAGTATTGATATCAATAGACAAAAAATTTAAAGAATAGAGAAAATCGGCAAAAAAAAATTAAAGAAAACAGAAATAAAGGACCCCCTCCAGATCTTCATAGAACTTTCCGTTAAAACAATACAACCTAATTTAAGTTCAGCATCGAGTATATATCCTAAGGCTTGTAAATGCGTTAATCCTTTCTTTCATTTTAATAACAATTGTATTTAATATAAAATAATTATGTATTTATTTGTTTATTCAAGTTGCACTATAGCAAATAATTCTTCTTCTTCCTCTAATAGTAATAAATGTATTCGTTATTTAATATTTTCTGGGGTCATTCAACCTGTGCCAACATTTTGAAATTTAGGAGAATAAAATTGTGAAAAAATGTTGGCATAGATTGAATAATTTGTTACAGATTAAGTATTATAAAAACATAAATTGATTAAGGTCTAATCAATTTACAACCAGTTTAAACTTAGCGTTAAAGTGTACTCTATGCCATTTTTTTTTACACATACTAGTGAAAATGTAGGTAATGTAGGTATCAAATAGAACACGTGATACTAGCAAAATTGTTGTCTAGATACTAAATTAATAATAAAAAGATAGACAAAAATTCTAAAATTGAACACCTATAAAATAAAGTTGAGAATGGAAATGGGGAATATGTCAAAGAGACAAGAACCCGACCAAAGAGAAGATATATATATATATATATATAATATATAAGACTTGAGAAAAAATATACAAAAATACCATAACTTTTTTTTTAAATCAAATTAATTTTGCAATATGAAATTTAAAAAAAATGTTAAATAAAATGATTGTGTTTCTTCATTTGTTAGACGGCGGCTTTCCAGTGGGACAGTGCGCCCTTTATTTACTTTCTTTTACTTTAGAAAAAGTACTCTGTGTTTGTTTTTATTTATTAAACTGAGATGTGAGATTTGTGGTTACATTTTGTGTCGCCAATTTGTAATTTGAAATTCCATCATTCGCAAGTCAGTATGAAAAATGCACAGTTAGATATTCAGTTTGTCACCAATAGATTAGAGTCTAATCCCCAATAGGGCCTCGGTGGCACTAATTTATATGTAGAAGATAATTATGATGATGCATCTGCACACTCAACTGGTGTCATGTTGTCATCCTAGAGTCTCCAGTTTAGGTCAGCTAGCCTGTTGTCATTTTCAATGTACTTTCTTTGACGATGTTTACCACCTGCTGAGTTCTGGATTATTCTTAACTCTGTAGCTGCTTGCTGTTTCTTCAGTAGTTTAACCAATATGATGACTCTGTCGACAAAAGCATGGAAGTTATGGATTCTTACAACCTCAGTTTTGACAGGCTATTGATACAGTAATTTTGACTACTTAGACCACCCGGCCACCGATGCCCTATTGGTATCCATTGTGGATTAGACTTTTATCTATTGGTGACAAACTGAATATCTAACTGTGTATTTGCCACAAAGAGTATTTTTTCCTGAAGTCAAACTAATTAATCAAAGGGCGCACTGTCCCACTGGAAAGCCGCCGTGTA